ATTCTCTCTGGTAAAACTGGATCCATAAGTCCCCACAATTAGCTAGAGCTCGTTTTTGGGACAACTAGCAATCGCTTGCTAGCTCCTCCTTTTGTCAGGATTTATTAGCCTCCCTCTTAGTTTGAGCCAAAATTTGACCTATAAATTTTACTAATAAAATTTTAAATTATATGTCACATAAATTATACCACCGAAGACCTCTTTCGAATACAAAATTTTAACAATATTTTTCTGTTACATATACTTTATATTTTTATTAATCATATAGATGACAAAACTAGTTCATCATGCTGCCGATGGGTTTTCATAGAACTGGAGTTGGTTGAATCTCTCTTTTGTTTTTTAGTCCTGTACATACTGAACTTTTTTTTATTTAATATATATACCGTAGAATGGTTGTTCTATGGTTTTGGTTCAAAAAAATGTGACTCAAAATAAGAGGGCCTAACAAATCCGGACCAAGGGAGTAGTCAGATCCATTGTATGATTTTTTTTAGATGAAATTTTGCGCCATAAGGGCCTTCCCCTTGTTGAAAATGTGTTTCCTTGGCTGCTGTAGTGTTGGATTAGACAAGGTTGTTCTTTTTTTCTTCTCGAGTATGCACGAGTGTGCGTACTTTACTATATAGAAGGAGTGGGGTAAAAGAGCCCCTCCACGTCAGTGTTTACATATTACATGTATACGACTCCACCCCTAAAACTACTATCTCAATTACAATTTAACTTCTCGCGCTAGCCCACATTTCCACCTCATGGAAGAAGTCTTCCGTGTCGCCTTTGATCAATCCCGCTTATTTCCATGCTCTACCCTCCTGGCATATCCGAAGAATGACATAGTTCTTGGACGGTGATGCGCCATCGAAAGTAATGGCGTTGTGGTGCTTCCATATCTCTCACATAACCAAGGTGAGAACTGTCGCCTGATCCCTCTTCTACTTAGTTGTGCCTCCCTTGTCTATGCACCCGTCTTCAATTTTGCTGCTAGTCATCGGCATCCACTCCAACTTGCCCAAAGCTTGCAGGACCGCCGTCCAGATCTCCTTTGCGAACACGCAGTGTAGCATGAGATGGTTTATCGACTCTTCCTCTTGATCACATAGTGAACAGCTATCTTGATGGTCAAGGCCTCGCCTAGCTAGATGGTCAGATGTCCAGCACCGGTTTCGTGCTGCAAGCCAGATTAAGAAACGACATCGCGAAGGTGCCTTCGCTTTTCAGGTGAAACCTCCCGTCCCAGAAAGGTGCCTCGTATGCAGATTTTGCGGAATATTCGCCATTCCTCTCACATGTCCAATCAATAGTGTCCTGCTCATCCTGAACAAGCACCACATCCACCACCCTAGTCCAAAGCTCCATGTATTCATCTAGCTCAACTGAGGTCATCTCCGGGCCAATGTCCCTTGCCCATGAGTGATCATGCATGGCCTGGGCAACAGTACAGTTAGCTCTGACTCGGTTTCTCGCCCGGTTGTAAATCAGCAGCGCAGAATCCTTGATTTTCTCTCCAGCTAGCCATTTATCCTTCCAAAACAGCATGTTATTGCATTGCCAACAGTGGCTCGGAAGACAAGGTTGTTCTCTTATACTCCCTCCGTTCGGAATTACTCGTCTCGGATATGAATGTATCTAGAACTAAAATACGTCTAGATACATGAATTTGTACGACAAGTAATTCTAAACGGAGGGAGTATATTATTATATTGTATATATATACGCGCTATTTGTCAACCTGGGTGAGGAATAATTATTCTTCACCCCCCTCTATTTTACCATCAATGCACCGTAAATTTACGTTCAGTAAGTTTTGTCTTATTTCCGACGTAAAAAGGGACCGTAAGAAAAATATATAATCGTCGTAAAAAATATTTTATATTATGTAAAATTACAAACGTAAAAACATAGTCTAAAATACACATAAACTGTAAATTTTCTTGTCTTATGACCCATATTTTTCTTTTTTTATGTCAAATTTTATGTAGTGAAGTGAATCAATAGGAATATAACTATTTGAATTCGAAACGTAATTTAATTATGAAATGATCGTAAGATTACCTCGGATGAAGAATAACTTATTCTGCACCCTAGATGATGAATAGTAACACTATATATATATATATATATATATATATATATATATATATATATATATATATATATATATATAGGAAAATAGGTTGGTACACCTAGGAGTACATACTCCCAGGTCGATCCACCTCAGGCGACCCACCGCGTAGTACGCCTCTGCTTATCGGGCTAGACGCTACTTGAATTTGTTGGAACAGAATCCTTTTTTATAGGGATATCAAACGTCACCCTTGAAACTACTCTACATCGATCTATTGTTCCCGCATATACCTCGCTGCGATGGCGGCTGCGTCTCTTCTAGCACCAACGACCTATTTCTTGTAGCTTCGTCGCCGAGGCTTTTGCGTCTCTCCCGGTAGCCACGCTGCATGCATCGGCATGGAAGAAGACGACGCACCCGTCTCTGCCCAGCAGGTCTTCGGCGTCCAGCGTGTCGACGAATCCATCTGGCTTGCTGCTTCCTTCGACATGGACGCATGCACTTGCAGGTTTGGAATTGCCGATCGCTTTTGTTGCACTAGCACTAATTATGCGACATCAATGTTATTTCCCATCAATTCATCTCTTGCTATTCTCGCTTGTTACAGATCGATGCACCGGGCTGCTCTATTCACATCTTTCGTACGGAAGTTGGGTAGCCGGGCTGCTCGACCACGGACATGAGATTGATGCATTCGGCAGGCGGTAGGCGGTGGCTCAAAAATGTAGACGAGATGCAGACGGCGCATGGATGGTGAGATGACTCGAAGATGGAGTAGATCCAACCACAGACTACAGTTATGGACATGCTTGCTATCATAGGGTGGGCTGATGGTCAATGATGCACCATGCATGACCAACAAGAATCCACGCCACAACTGCGGTCAAAAGAGTTCTATTAGTCCAACTTAGCATTGATTCACCGGGTTCCCTAGATGAGCTCGCTTGCTGCGAGTCAGTTTGCTGCTCTTCCGATCTAGCGCAACCGCCCGCGGCAACGTACTCTTAGGTGAAAACATGAGCAGTTAATAATTCTTTGGATCTGTCTAGTGTATACATACTACTACATGTAATGAAGTATATTGTCATTTAAAAAATCAGTATATACTCTCTCCGTCTCAAAATATAAGACGTTTTTTGCACTAGATTTAGACAAAAAAACGTCTTACATTTTGAGACAGAGGGAGTACATCCTAATCTTGAACGTTGCTATATACACTCTGTTTTTTTTTGCAGTATATACTTCGTATCTTATGTGAAAAGGTAGTATATACACCTTTTAATTTTGTAACAAGTATAATATATTCAGCCAAGGTTATAGTCGCCTGGCCAAAGAGAACAGTATAAACCATGCAAAGAAAAAAGAGAGAACTAAGGACCTAGGTTGCAAATGGAATATTATCCAAATTTCAAAAACAATTTTACATGTACTCTAACCTAGGATCATATGCCCCCTTTAAAAGCAAGTATACGCTCCTTCAAAAAGAAAGTACATACCCCTCTTAAAAGGCAGTACATACCCACGTCCACATCTGTACAGAGGACAATCAATGGAGTGCCTAGGAGTACAAGATCCAGTATATTCTCCTTCCAGAATTAAGTAGTGTATAATCCATTAAAAATGTGGTATAACTCCTACAAAACAGTAGTATACTCATTTCTAGTGGCATAATACTAGGCTCATGAAGTATATACTGCCAAGATTAAAAAAAAGGTAAGAGGTATAGTCTACTATGCAGATTAAAATATATACTTAATTTCCATAATGGGGAATGAGAGCATAATATCAAATAGAGAAAAAAAATGTTATATACTATGAAGGATAACGCACGAGACCTAGAACTATGCATGTGTAAATTGACATGCAGGTGGTTGCGTATTAGAAAAAATAACAAGCGTGCACTCCGTCAATTCTGTTATGCATGCATGCAGCGCGCGGTTGGCTGTGCAGCCATTAGCGGATACATATCCAGTATTCGGTTAGTATCAAGTGGATAAAGCTTTACTTAAGGAAAAATTAAGTGAATAAGGCTACTAGATAAGGTGGGAGTACATACAGAGGAGTCCTATATGTGTAATATAGGAAAACATTCATGGAATTGCAATCTTGTATGCTATGTTTGTACCTTTTCATCATCTTGCGAGCAGAAAACCTCAACTAAGTTCCATTTTACTGGAAAATTTCCTATGAACATGCTAATTACGTAGTTCCACAGTTTCAAAAAAAAATTTTACGTAGTTCCCGAGGCTCCGGGCACATTGCATGGGCGGTCAAGAAAACTGTTGCGCAAGTACGCAAAGACCCATCTACGAGAACAAGTTGCAATGTTAACAAAGCAAAGCTAAAGCCAGTACGCAACACATGCAACCACATGTTCCTGTTCATTGTAGACCGGTGCGGTAGCATGAGCATGGCTAACTACTTTTGGCAGAGGTGCATGGACTCACCTCAACTACCATTCATACAAAACCCTCTGCTTCAAGTAAGTTCTATATAAACCCCTCAGACTGTGCCATGTGATCTCCACCACGCAAGGGATCCAGCACTAGCTAGCTGCGGGCAGATCAGGGACGCATTGCCCCAAAGCCCCCGACGGACTAGAGATGGTGGCTGCCATGGTTGCCGTGGTTGTGGTGGCGGCGGTGTGCTTGCGGCTGCCGGCGGTGGCTCGCGGGCAGCTCCAGGTGGGCTTCTACAACACGAGCTGCCCCAACGCGGAGTCGCTGGTCCAGCAGGCCGTCGCCAGCGCCTTCGCCAACGACTCCGGCGTCGCCGCCGGCCTCATCCGCCTCCATTTCCATGACTGCTTTGTCCGGGTACGTATCGTCTAGCCCCTAGATGATCTCTTACGCCAATGCTTTGTCCGGGTACGTATCGTCTGGCCCCTAGGGCAGCACATCACATTGATACATTCACATGCACATGCATTACATCCATGCGTGCTCTGCTCGTTCAGGGATGTGACGCCTCCGTGCTGCTGGTGTCCGCCAACGGCACGGCCGAGCGCGACGCGGCCCCGAACAAGCCGAGCCTCCGGGGATTCGAGGTGATCGACGCCGCCAAGGCCGCCGTGGAGAAGAGCTGCGCGCGCACCGTCTCCTGCGCCGACATCGTGGCCTTCGCCGCGCGCGACAGCATCAACCTCACCGGGCAGGCCGCGTACCAGGTCCCCTCGGGCCGGCGCGACGGCAACTTCTCCCTCGACCAGGACGCGCTCAACAACCTGCCCCCGCCCACGTTCACGGCGCAGCAGCTCGTCGACCGCTTCGCCAACAAGACCCTCACCGCCGAGGAGATGGTCATCCTCTCCGGCGCCCACACCGTGGGCCGCTCCTTCTGCAGCTCCTTCCTCGCCCGCATCTGGAACAACACCACCGCCACCGTACGTCCTCCGACCCCTAGCACCATCTGCAGCTGCATCTGTCCGTGGTGACCATGTAACGCGAAACTGCCGGCGTACGCGCGTGCAGGTGGACACGGGGCTGAGCCCGGCGTACGCGGCGCTGCTGCAGGCGCTGTGCCCGTCGAGTCCGAACGCGGCCACGACGACGGCGGTCGACCCGACCACGCCCGCGGTGCTGGACAACAACTACTACAAGCTCCTGTCGCTCAACCTCGGCCTCTTCTTCTCCGACAACCAGCTGCGGACCAACGCGACGCTCAACACGTCCGTGAACAGCTTCGCGGCGAACGAGACGCTGTGGAAGCAGAAGTTCGTGGCGGCCATGGTGAAGATGGGGAACATCGAGGTGCTCACGGGCACCCAGGGGGAGATCCGGCTCAACTGCAGCGTCGTCAACAACCGGTCGTCGGTGGCAGCCCCCGAGATTCACCACTACTACTCGGGATCCACCGCCTCCATCAAGGAGATCGCGACCAGCTGATGACATTAATTTTGCCATACGTGCGCAATTCGTCCCACCTCTATTTGCATGGTTCGTCCCACCACTATGTTAGGTTAAGATCACTAAATATGAATGTATCCGTACGTACGGTGTACACGCATATGTACCTCTGCTTTTTCCTACGCGTGAATAAAACGATGGTCCATTTGCGCACCTTGATTGACTCCCGGAGTTCGGTACGCACACGTGGAAGCAGTCCCCGGGAATCGATTCCTACCTACGTTTTTTTTTCTTGTTGGGTAGAACACTTGTGCTCAGTCACATCTGTATTACAATCAGCAATGTTCAGTTCAATTTCAATGACACCAGGTCCAGAACCCAACCAGGTCATGGTTCTGCTCTCTAGACGAGCAAAGTTTGCAAGAAAATTGCTAACCTTATTTTGATAGAGCCTAATATGAGTAACGAATTTGCTAATTCTTATTTAGATGAGAAATAGGTATGTCACATCTAAATTGTCCACCACATCCACGCAATCAGAAGCTGAAACAGTCGTGCAAAATGTTGTCGCTATGCATTCCAAGTCATTCTGTCTCGTGTAGGGGTCGCACTATGGTTTTTTTTTTATGTTTTTCGGTTGTACTGTTTTTGTCCCACTATGGTCGCGCTATGGGCTTTTTTCGGCCTGTTTCTCGTATCCCCTGCACATCCGAGGAATTGGAAACGGTACACTCCTTTTCGGCGTCTCTGAATAGGCTCGCAGGTCGCCCACGAGTGACCTAGCGCGCAGCCCTCCAGCGCGCTTGGTCCGTGTTTGGGCCGACCCATTTTAAGTGTATCCCTCATTTTTCATGTTTTTTGGTTGTACTGTTTTGTCCCACGTGGGCCTGCTTTTTTTAGCCTGTTTTTCGTGTCCCCTGCACATCTGCGGAATTGGAAGCGATACACTCCTTTTCAACGTCTCCGAATAGGCTCGCAGGTCGCCCACGAGCGACCTAGCGCGCAGCCCTCCAGCGCACTTGGTTCGTGTTTGGGCCGGCCCATTTTAAGTGTATCCCCCACTTTTTATGTTTTTTGGTTGTACTGTTTTTGTCCCACGTGGGCCTGTTCTTTTCAACCTGTTTTTTGTGTCCCCTGCACATGAGGAGTTGGAAGCGGTACACTCCTTTTCGGTGTCTCCGAATAGGCTCACAGGTCGCCCACGAGCGACCTAGCG